GATGTTTAATCAGTGCTGATTGAATAATAATTTGCCATTTATTCTAAAGGAGTGATTTAATATGAAACATTCATCAATATTCAGTCATCTACCCCAAGTATTAAAGAGAACATAAGAACATGATACAAGAAGTTAAATGCAATATTAAATACACACTACTCTGTGAGTTCTGAACTTCAATATCAACAATTTTAGAGACATTTTTAAATGAAAATTTATGTCAATAAAAGCATTGTTGTTTTTAAGCATTTCTATTTTTATATACCTTCTCTTTTTTATAGTAAGTACTTACCTCTGACAGTGATTTTGGATGACAGAATGAGCCTGGGCTACAACAAAATGCCTGACAATGAAGCCTGGGAGAGTTTAAAGATCATTGTCACATTTGCTGCAGTACTGAGGTAACATGATGAGGAACTGTTTGCCCAGAAGCCGACATTGTATGAAGTTCACCAATTCCTGAAGCCAGATTCTTAACGTTAGCTTTAATGGTATAGAAATTACTTCCTACAAGGCTAACACAACAATGTAAAACAATTATACTCCAATAAAGATGTTAAAAAGAAAAAAGGCTGACTGCATATATACAACACAGAGTTTAAGAGAACTACTTACCTTAATTACAAATATGGAGCTGAATATACCATCTTTGGACCTGCTCTGTCCAGTGTGGCGGCCACCGGTCACATGTGACCATCTAGTATTTGGATGTGGTCACTTAGATCGAGATGTGATGTGAATGAAAAATACTCACTGATTTCAAAGACTCAGTACAAGAAAAAGAAAGTAAAATATATCATGAATAATTCTTACATTGATTGCATGTTGGAATGACAATAATTAGATATTAATTTCACCTGGTTCTTTTTCTTTTTAACTGTTGTTACTGGAAAATTTTAAATTACATATGTGGTTCTCATTATATATATATATTGAACAGCCCTGTTCTAGATGTCCTGCACCCATTCAACAGATGAAAGGCTGGGAAAAGTGTGATTACAAAGGAAAAACTATTCCCATGAGCTGCTGACATAAGGATTGCAGGAAGAGCATCAATTCTTGGTAGGGCCCCTGGCTCATTTACAGTAGGCGCTTTACAACCCCACGTGTTGCTTTACTGAATCATGTCCGCCCTGCCTGGAATTGGTGGGTTGGTTATCAGTTTATTAAAACACCAATAATTCTGCTTTGGCAACATCTGTGATTGTTTCAGGCCTGCTTAGTTTTACTTCCATCCCAAGGATTTCAGCAGGAACTTTAGCAGGGATTCTCTGAAAACACAGGGAACAGTTTCCTCTCTTTCATGAGACAAATGTCTACCGACATGATCTTCTTAGCAAAGGTGGAGCTGCCTTTATTCGGTCTATTAGCTTAGGTCCCAAATTCATCATGTGGCCCAGGAATGGGACCAGTGGCTGAACTTCTGACTCTGGATTCATTTCAGTTTTGCACTATGTTAATCCTCTTTTTTTTTTTTTTTTTGACTGAAGTATAGTTGATTTACAATGTTGTATATAGCACAGAGGTTCATATATATATGAATGTCTTTTCCCTTATAGGTTATTACAAAATATTGAGTATAGTTCCCTCTGCTATACAGTAGGTCCTTGTTATCTGTTTTATATACAGTAGTATGTATCTGTTAATCCCATACTCCTAATGTATCCCTCCTCCCTCTTCCCCTTTGGTACCATAAGTTTGTTTTCTATGTCTGTGAGTCTGCTTCTCTTTTGTAAATAAGTTCATTTGCATCACTTATTTTAGATTCCACATATAAGTGATATCATGATATGTCTTTTTCTGACTTACTTTACTTAGTATGATAATCTCTAGTCCATCCATGTTGATGCAAATGGCATTATTTCATTTTTTTTTCTTTTTTTTTTTTCCCTGCAGTACACGGGCCTCACTGTTGTGGCCTCTCCTGTTGCGGAGCACAGGCTCCAGACACACAGGCCCAGCGGCCATGGCGCACGGGCCCAGCCACTCCGCAGCATATGGGATCCTCCCAGACCGGGGCACAAACCCATGTCCCCTGCATCGGCAGGCGGACTCTCAACCACATTCTCTCAAGAGAATGAAGCCCTCATTCTCTTTTTATAGCTGAGTAATATTCCATTGTATACATGTAGCACATCTTCTTTATCCATTCCTCTCTTGATGGACATTAGGTTGCTTCCACGTCTTGGCTACTGTAAATAGTGCTGCTATGAACATAGGAGTGCATGTATCTTTTTCAAATTAGAGTTTTTGTCTTTTCTGGATATACGCCCTGGAGTGGGATTCCTGGATCATATGGTAGCTCTATTTTTAAAGAGACCTCCCTACTGTTCTCCATAGTGGCTGCACCAATTTACATTCCCACCAACAGTGTAGGAGGGTTCTTTTTTCTCTACACCTTCTCCAGCATTTATTATTTGTTGACTTTTGGATGATGGCCATTGTAACTGGTGTGATACCTCATTGCAGTTTTCATTTGCTTTTCTCTAATAATTAGCAATGTTGAGCATTTTTTCATATGCCTGTCAGCCATGAGCTGTATGAGCTGTTTGTGTATTTGAGAAGTTAAGCCCTTGTCAGTCACATCATTTGCAAGTATTTTCTCCCATTCTGTAGGTTGTCTTTTTGTTTTGTTTATGGTTTCCTTTGCTGTGCAAAAGCTTTTAAGTTTGATTAGGTCCCATTTGTTTATTTTTGTTTTTATTTCTATTGCCTTGGGAGACTGACCTAAGAAAACCATTGTATGACTTGTGTCAGAGGATGTTTTGCCTATGTTCTCTTCTAGTTTCATGGTGTCATGTCTTAATGTTTAAGTCTTTAATCATTTTGAGTTTATTTTTGTATATGGTGTGAGGAAATGTTCTAATTTCATTCTTTTACATGTAGCTGTCCAGTTTTCCCAGCACCACCTGCTGAAGAGACTATCTTTTTTCCATTGTATATCCTTGCCTCCTTTGTCAAAGATTAATTGACCATAGATGTGTGGGTTTCTTTCTGGGCTGTCTGTTCTGTTCCACTGATCTATGTGTCTATTTTTGTGCCAGTACCACGCTGGATTAAGGTAGAATTAAGAATAATAAGATGGAATAGACAATCACATGAAACAGTTGAAAAGAAAATGATTCTTCAAAGCAATGAAGGCAGAATCGAGCTGGATGGGCAGAGGAGGGTGCACAACTGTTGAGCAGTCAGACTTTTCAAACCTGTATTTTACTGTGTCATTCTCATTCTCTAACAAGATAGGTACAGACTACTCTAATTTCATAACTGAGACTGAACAAAGAGGTAGGCTACAGTCCCAACTAGTAAATGACAGAGTCTAACATGCCCATTTTGTGCCAAAGTCCACGCCCTTCACACAGATTCCACCCTAACAACTTGTCGACGCAGAGGCAGACTTGGTATTTTGGAACTGAGAAAATGAATTAGAATTTCAAAAGAACGGCAAATACCGTAAATTGGAATCGAATTTCCCAAAGAATACACATCAAAAGAACCAGAAACTATAATTAGATGTATAACAAAAACATTTAAAAAGTCCTGACATTAAAAACTCAGATAAATTTCTGTATTCCTACCAACATTTTTAAGCATTAATATATAAACAAGTTACATGTGTTGGTAAAATGTGTGTGTGTATTTCTACAAAGGAAGTGTATCTTTCAATGACATAAAAAAAAAAAACAGGTAAATATTCCCTTCTCAAAAACAATGGCTAAAGACAGTGCAGCACAAAACACTTGGGAGGAAAGAATTCAACCCAAAATTATCATATTCAATCAAGAGAATATTCATAATGTAGAAATAGAAAGAAATCTCAAGTCTAAGTTTCAGGAAATTTCCTATCCAAATGCCTCAGAAACATACTGTAAATCACAAAACGCTGAGAGAAAGGATGCTTCTAATGTGGTATAACATAGAAGAAACGGCCAAGTGACTCCCTATCTCCTATTTTCTCTCCAGCTTTAAAATATCCTACTTGCTTATTCCTTTCAGGCTTAGAGTTTCTCCTGAACAGAGAAGACCTTAATTCAGGAGGGGCCATTTCACAACCTAACAAGGACATGGCTCTGCCTAGTCCAAGATAAGCTGGGCCAATGAGATTTTTTTTTCTCTTGGTCAAAATCTAAAAGAAGTACAGCTGATTCACTCTGCCGTACAGTATAAACTGACACAATATTGTAAAGCAACTATACTCCAATAAAATTGTTTTTTTAAAAAAAGAAAAAAGAAGTTCTACAGAGGGACATGGCCCCATGGTGGGTGATCAATGGAGCTGAAAGTCAGAACTGGCAGAAGTTGCTGTCGAGAAAAAACTGCTAATAAACATTAAGACCAAGTTACAAAGTTAAATAAAACACTAACACCTCCTGGGCAATTGATGATAAATCTAAATAACTACAGTAATTGTAAGATCCAAGTGGGTGGAAGTGATCTGTAAAGAAGATAGCAATGAATATGGTGAAATGCTTTAAGATTTTAAAAGATACAATAAAAGATTAAGAGATTTAACATCCAAATTCTAATAAAAGACAATTACATATTTCAAAGGGAAAAACTAAAAGTTGGAGAAATAAAGCTTTTAAAAGAGCATAAAAATAGCAGACAGACCAATAATAGAAATTAAAACGATATATAAATTGCTTAAATTCATCTACTAAAAGTTTCAAATTCCATTTCTTAAGGTGAATTGTTCTCAAAACATTAGAACTTGAACGTAATCTCCATGAGACCAAGGACTTTTGTCTGTTGTTCACTGGTCTACTTTCAGCTCCTGGAACACTGCCTGGCACCTAATAAATATTTTTTGAATGGATGGATGGATGCAAAACCTGTGTACTGTCCAATTGGCAGCTGGACAGTGTCCATGACCACCAGGTTCAGGTAAACAGGCACTTTGACTCAGTGCAGACAGGAATTATACACAAGTACCAAGCATTAAAAATTGTTAATCCAAGAATTTTACTCAAGAAATGTATGTTTTTTAAAAAGATAACTAAGGCATTTAACGTATTTTATTTACTATATACAAAAGGTGAACCTAAGGAACTGCCCTGAATGCTGACTAAATTATAGGCCCCCTCATATCATGGAATCCCAGGCACTCACGTACGGGAAGATGCAGAAGTACGTCAATGTGGAAGATGATGATGAGGGACTTTAAAGAAAACAGCTGCAAACGAAAAGGCGTAGCATAACCCCACTCCTGTATAAAACATCTGGAAGAAGTGATGCTGAAATGTTAACACTGTGTTCCTCAAAGTGGTAGGGTAACTGACTTTTATTTTCTTCCTTTTGTTCACCTCTATTTTCCAATGTTTCTACATAGAACATGCACTATTTGGAAAACAAAACAGTCCGTTTTTAAAACCTGAAAACATTTATTTTTGAAAGAGACCAACCCTACAGGTTGTAAAGTAGTGCCAAATAAAATACTTTCAAACATCACCCACCCCCGGAGAAACACAACATTCTTCCCCTTTCAGTTCTGCGGACCTGTCTCTGATGTTAGATTACACTTTGCTATTTCTGAACATGTTCTGATTAATTAGTCTTGCTAAGGAAAGAAAACCATAAGCAGTTACAAGCCAGGACAAAGTAAAAACTGGCACTTTCACTTTAGCTTTGGTTGAGATTTTAAATCTATTAAACAACACTAAGCAACACTCGGTTTCAAATGCAAACCACTGTACTAGCCAATACTAAGAATTATGTGATCCTCAGAAGAAACGTTCTTCAATAAAAGATACATGTAAGTCAGATACATCCTCATATACAAATCAGATTTTCGGTTTCAATTCGAGTTCACTGTTCATCCTATACATCTTAAAAAGACCTCTTAGGAACAAAACAGAAAAAGTATATTCCCATTTCGCATGAATAGGCTTACGTATCAGGTGGTGACTGGAAGGAAAATTGAGCTTATATTAACATAGTCTAAGTCAATCAATTGTAAAAGTTGAGCTACTGTTATTCTATTTTATTTGAGGTACAGAACTCAGAATATACATTTGATGTAAACTTAATCAATTTCCTATATTTAAAAAATGGAAGACTGGGCTACAAAAATGCCGTCTTTTAATTTCAAGCGTCCCATTTACTTTCCACAACCAAAAGTCCTGTTCCAGTTTTCATAAAGCTCCAAATCTTCTGGAGACACACTAGGTCGCACAGTTCTGAAGGCATCTTCAAAGTCACTGTAAGCTATTGGTCGAACTTGATCCGGCGTTACCGTGGCAATGTCGGCAGCCTGTAAACTGCGAATAGGACCCAGAGACGCCTCCCTGCAGAGCTGCGTCATGTCAGCCCCCGAGAACCCACCAGAGTGCCGCACCACCAGGTCGACCTCCTCCTCGCTGAGGCAGCAGTGCTCCTCTGACATCAGATTAATGACTATCTGTTTCCTGGCTGAAGCCTCTGGGAGGGGAATATACAGCCTTTTCACCAACCTTCTCCGGGCAGCCTCGTCAATCTCCTGTGGCCGATTGGTTGCTCCTACCACTAGAATACGATCTTCAGAAGATGTGGCTGCTCCATCCAGCTGAACTAGAAATTCAGTTTTTATCCTTCTAGAAGATTCATGCTCGCCATCTCCCCGCTGAGATAATAGGGAATCGATTTCATCAATAAATATCACAGCTGGTTGCTGGCATCGTGCAACAGCAAACAATGCACGGACCATTTTCTCTCCCTCACCCACCCACTTAGAAGTCAAGGAGGAAGCAGAGATACTAAAGAATGTTGCCCCAGACTGACTAGCGATGCACTTGCCAATCAGAGTTTTACCAGTCCCAGGAGGACCAAAGAGCAGAATTCCTTTAGGGGGTCCTCGTAAGCCAGTGAAGATGTCTGGCCGCATCATGGGCCACACAACTATCTCCTTTATTGTGGTTTTGGCAAATTCCACTCCTGCAATATCTTCCCAATTTACTGGCGGTCCCTGGTCCATAATCTCATTCATAATAAGTTCAATCATTTTAGGTTCCAAGTTCTTCAGACGCTCATCCACGGGATGTGCTGGGTCTGCAGCTCCTGCGCCATGCGGCTTATACTGTGTCCCCCCGCCCTGACCTCCCCCATCTTGCTTAGGTACAGGGGGAACAAACTTTCCAAATATCCCTCGGGATCTACTAGCTCCCAGAGACTTTTTGACACTACCATGTGAAGACCCTGATGCACGCTGGGGCTGGTGGTACTTTTTCTGCTGATCTACCCATAGCTGTTCTTTTGCAGTTTTAAAAGTAGGCAGGCCGCTCTCCTCTCTTTGGCCATTATCTTCCGTTTTACTAAAAGCCTTATTCATTACTGGAGTGGAAAGTGCATCAATGGTGCCAGAACCATAAAAAGCTTTCGTTTCCCGTGGATTTTCAAAGCCAGAAGGAAAACAAGACTGATGAGATGAGAACACACTTAGTCCTGTGTTGGCTTTCGGGAACTTGTAATTTTCCTTTTTGACATTTCCAAACAATGGTGTGGCATGGAATTCTGCAGTGGCTGACTCACCGAAAGGTCCTGGGACTGCAGGACACGTCTTAGTGGTGTTAGTGACCAGAGGTGGCTGGGCATTCTGAGGGCACTTCAAAGAAGGACTGCCCTCTGGGAAGTCTTTGGTCCTATCGGCACCATGGGCTGAGTTAGTTAATGGGTCACTCTCCCCAGAACCACCACAAACACTAAATTTAGGAAGATCAAAGACAGCGGCCGCTCTATGGATGACTACTGACTCATCTGCAGGTGCCAACAGAGAGTCTCTGGATTTTCTGCCAGCGTGCATCATTTCCTGCACATTACTCATTTGGAACACGTTATTTATTGACAATCCAGACTTCCACTTGTCACTGTCAGTTTGCCGAGATCTTGCTAGAGTTAAAATGTTTTCTGCATAGTTATTCAAGCCAGTTTCAACACTGTCAGAATCAATAACTGCAGAATATTTCTCTGCATATATTCTGAACAGTCTGGCAGCACAGACCTGGGAGATCTCAGAGTTTGCCCATGCATACTGAATGCGGAGAATCTGTGCTCGGTACGCGTCTGCCTTCTCTCCTGATGGACACGTGCCAGACGTAATTGCAAAGTAATTCTTCTGCCATTCACTCAAGTGTACAGACCTGGAGCTAGAGACCTGCATTTTAGAGGTTCTATAACAGATGACAAAGATGAAAAAGATTCAGTATCCAGAAGGAAACAAAGACATAATACTTTAAACATACTTTTAAAATCTCTGCCTATCTGAAGGAAGGTACACTGGACTTTTCATTTATAAGGTAAATTTATAAGGAAAGACCGTTTATAGGGGAACATCTAGTTAACCACAGCTTTCAGGCATTCAAGATATAAAAGATTAAAGACTTGACTTAGTAATGCTCTAGGGACTTCCCTGGTGGTGCAGTGGTTAAGAATCTGCCTGCCAATGCAGGGGAAACGGGTTCAATCCCTGGTCCCGGAAGATCCCACATGCCATGGAGCAACTAAGCCCGTGTGCCACAACTACTAAGCCTGTGCTCTAGAGCCGCAAGCCACAACTACTGAGCCCGCGTGCTGCAACTACTGAAGCCCGTGCACCTAGAGCCCATGCTCTATAATAAAAGAAGCCACCACGATGAGAAGCCCGCGCCCCGCAACGAAGAGTAGCCCCTGCTCGCCGCAACTAGAGAAAGCCTGTGCGCAGCAACGAAGACCCAATGCAGCCAAAAAAATAGTAATAATAATGCTCTATTATGGGTTAAACTGTTTTAGTTATATAATAATTTTCCCTGTGATTAGGGAAAGGTTTAGAGGGAGAGGATTTAAAATTAATCAGCAAACGAAAGGCAACATGGAAGAACAAGGGATCTAGAGACAAAGCAAAGCAAAACAAACCAAGCCAAGCTCCGTCCCTAGGAAAATCAGACGAATGATCTCACGGAAGCCTCTTCACGTCGCTGGGCCTTCAGTTTTATCTGTAAAATGAGAGAAGTCATTATGAGAATCAAGTCAAACAATGAACACGAAAATACCTAAAAATTACTAGTATAATCTCTACTGCACACATGTAGAAACTGAGGCAGACAGCGTTCAAAAGCTTGGTTGAGGTCACACAGCCAGTGAGCAATGGTGCCAAAATTCGCACACGCGCAGTTTCACTGCATGTAGTGTGCACTTCACCACATAAATGCCCCTTCATACTGCCACCAAAGGTCACTGCAGGATGGATCGCAAATACGAACAACAGTATTTAGTCATATACTAAATGTTTTCAAGGATTTGTAAATAAGCACTTAAAACAGGATGCCTCAGAATCTCACAATTTCCCAATTTCACAGGAAGCATTAAAAAGTGAAGCTGTCATGATAAATGAAATGAGAACAAGTGTGTGATTGAAATGGTTTATTTTAGATTTTTTTCCTCATGTTACTTTTATAAGCCTCCTTACATTAAGTTAAAATGATTTTAACAGGACTGCAGATGGATGTATCATGTTGACAGATGTGTAGAATTTACCTGCCAATCCAGAAGAAAAATTTGTAAGAAAACTATGAAGCTTCCTAAGGGTATTCAAATCAAGTAAAAACCAAGAACTATGTTAAAATTTACCTTCCAAATTACCTATAAATATAGCTTAATAATCAGCAGCTCTTTTGGTGCAAGACCCATGCTTAATACAGCTTTGTTTCTCCCATAAACCCTACAAAGAATCTGTCACATTGTAGGTAGGTGTTCATAAATCTTTGTAATTATTTTTGAAAAAAATAAACTTAAGGCCTAGTGAGATCCTAATTTGCTGAAAGCCATAAAACTAGAACTGACATCTCCTGACAAACAATTCATCCCTTTTTCCACTATTCCATTTTACCCTATTTTAATCTTTTATGCAACAGCTGAAATGAGAAATTGCAAATGAGGTAACTTGGAAACCATTTATCACCAACTTTCCTGTTACTATGAACATCCTGTTCCTCCCCACGGCTTCATCCCATTTTATCATCCGCAAAACTGGGATTCCTACAAAGGCTCAGACAGAGTTCTAGTCACTGTTCCCTAAATACCCTGCTCTTTCCTTTCCACCCTCTCCTGTTTGCTCAACATTCCCCTCCCAAGTCTTACTTCGTCCTTTCAGCGCATTCACCCAAAAACTATGGACACAGGTAACCAAGGACGGCTTGGCCACGCCCGTCAACGGCACAGCCGGGTCCCGAGTACCACTTCCTACGTCTGTATCACTAAAGTTACTCGGCGGCAGCGATGCACGAGCTCCAATCCCATCTTCTGGGGTTTTCCCTGCCTGTTGTAGGACGTGGCGTTCGTCCAGACCGTACATGCTCCCCGCCATACTGACTGTCTCCCCGCACCCGGAGCGGGGCAGCCCCGGGGACAGCAGTCACCGCGCTGACAGGGCTGTGGACCCTGCGGCGCTCACGAGGCGGGACGGCCCACCGCCCGGGACCCCGGGTGCAGTCCCTCCCCTCCGGCCTGGCTCCCGGTCCAGGGCTCGCCCGGCCGCCCCCCCGCGGAGCCTCCGCGAGGGCGGCGCCCGCCCGCCGGGACGCCCCTCCCCACAGGCCGCCTCCGAACCCGACGCCGCCGGGAGCGCGCCCGCCGCGAGAACACATTCCCGGGCCGGTCTGCCCGTTCGCCCGCCAGCGAAGCCCCTCAGCCCTCCGGCCCCGCGCCCCGCCCGGGCCTCAGCCCCCGTCGCCGCCCCCCTGCAAACACCCGCCCGCCGGCCCCCACAGCCCCCACAGCCCCCCCACACTGCCCGCCGACCTGCAGCTTCCGAAAAGCGCGCGGAGCGCGTGCGCCTGCGCGCTGCTGCCGGCTCGGCCCCCGCTGTGCGTGCGTGCGTGCATTCATACGTCTGTACGAGCGTGAGCGTGCGGCGGGGCGGAGGAGCGCGGCGGGGCGTGAGCGCACGGTGGGCGGGGCGCGAGCGCACGGTGGGCGGGGCGCAGGGGCGGGGCAGCGCTGCTCCCCCGGGAGGGGTCCGAGCCCCAGGCTCGTCCCCCCCCCCCCCCAGACACGCCCCCAGGCACGCCCCAGGCACGCCCCCGAGGCTCCGCGGCCGAGCGCCCCTACAGGCGCGTACGTAGGTGCGCGCTTGCCCCTCGGGAGGGGCTCCTCCCCCCCACACATTTTTAAACCATATCGGGGAATTGGAATCTGCATCTCGGTGCCGGAGCGTCCCTTTCCTCCCTGCTGCCCTGGGGACACGGTCCTGGAAGACCGGGAAGCGCGCCCTTCTTCCAGCGGACTGTGTCCTGGGGCAGGACGAGGAACGGAATAGCCCTCACAGCGGCCTACGGGTCGTTCGTGTCACCGCGTCACCTGGGAAATGTGGAGGTCTGATGGCGTGACCTGAGGGGGTCCCGAAGGACCGTCTTCCCACCTTGTCACCCTGCCGTCTTCCTCCCCGGCTGGTCGCCTCCGTGTCCCAAGGGCGCCCCCAACAACCCAGGGAACCAGCTCACACAACCCTGTTTAAAGCGAGAAGGAGAGGCCGGACTGGGGAAGAACCTTTCCCCTGGGAAAAGGAGGAGCCATTCCTCGGAAAGCCGCAGTGCCTTCTCTCCTTGGCTCCCGGGTCCTGTGGGTACCCCTTCCCCGGAAAGCGAGTGGCACCGAGCATGGAGAAAATGACTGTCCAGGAGCAATTAACAGCACATGACATTGAAATGCAAGACCTAAGGAGTGTGAGGCAAAACATTTAAGACCTTTCTTTTAAGATTTTTTAAAATGGGCACAAACTAAACAAAAGGGAATGATTGGACAATACCTTTTTAAAAATAGACAAGGGAAAATGACAGCTTACAATTCATCTCTTGGCTTAGATAGTAATAAAAGACTTTTTTATTCTAATTCTTCATAATTTATTAATTAATTTGCTAATTATTATAATTACCCAGAATAAAAATAAAAGAAAATGAAAACGAAAACCATTATTATCTCAAGACCAGTTCAGTTGTATGCTTGCTAGCTATTTTTATTTATTTATTTTTTGTAGTACGCGGGCCTCTCACTGTTGTGGCCTCTCCCGTTGCGGAGCACAGGCTCTGGACGCGCAGGCTCAGCGGCCATGGCTCACGGGCCCAGCCGCTCCGCAGCATATGGGATCTTCCCGGACTGGGGCACGAACCCGTGTCCCCTGCATCGGCAGACGGACTCTCAACCACTGCGCCACCCGGGAAGCCCGCTAGCTATTTTTTTTTACTTGTATGTTTAGAAATCACCATATAAATAATCTTTGGGTAATTAGCAATTTTTGGGTTTTTTATCACCAAAATTTTAGTGATAGCATTTTGGAGAATTCATGTAGACCACCGTCTTATCCTCCTAAGAGTACTGTTCACATACTGAAGTACATTTATTGTTGCCGGTATTAAAATTTTTCCAACAAGTGACACTAGCGTTGCCACTTTACTTTTGTGTATTTGATAGAAAAGCATTTCCCAATCCGGCAGTTTTTTGTTCCTGCGTAGTTGGCAAAATCGAACTCAATTCCATACCCTCTCTGAACGTCAACCTCCTCCTCATCTATGAAACAGGAATAAGCATCTCTAACTCAGGATGCTATCGTAAGAGTTATGATTAATATGAGATCTAATGATTAAATTATCAAAGCAGGAGCTGGCACATTGCAGACATTCAACAGAAGCTGTGATGCTATATTTATTGCTACTATTAATGCTATTTGGGGGATCCAAACCCTTAAGCCATAGCAAGACTTTTTCTTCTTTTACAAACGGGATATTTTAGAATAATGTTATAACACTTTAGCATAATTTGTAGGAGTTTAGCACTTGAACTATGCAGGTCTTAAACTTTCCTTCTGAGACCATAGGTTGTTTTGTTTTGTTTTCTCCTGGGGAGAAATTTTTGAACCTGCAAGGGAATAAGTTTTCACTTACAGCAAACAGAGCGCCAGTTCTTGGCGCAAGGGATTCTGGGAGCTGGCTGCTCATTTCCATATTCATGAATATTATAAACATGGTCTCCAACAAACGCCAATGCACAGTTCAGTGATCTCATTTGTTTTTGAGCGGAGGGAGACTATGGCCCTAAATAATGTGCATCCCCGTGTACAAGGAGAGTCACTTTAATTTTAAAAGAGGTGTGTTTGTAGGTCCAAGGAGGTGGATGGGGTAGAGGGGATGTGGAAGCAGACAGGGCAAGAGTAAATTCCTTCTTGGTGGGACTCCTGAGTGTGGCTAGACTCTGACTGATGTACAGCGTTAAGGAAGAAGGCAGAATGAGGATGGAGGACCGAGGGGATGGGTTCCTGCCTCCATCGGAGGAGTAAGGGGTGTGTGGACATGGAGTGACTGAGATATGCAACGCCAGCAAAAGGTTTTCCCTGACTGCACTGAATGACCCGCGAGGGCTCTGATGGGCTCCCTGGCATCACCATCATAAACAGAGCTGGTGAGTGGGGAGATGGGCCTCCCCTGAAATGGGGAGGGCAGAGCCGGGAAGGAACCATCTGCTTCGGTTGTTTTTCTCCAGAGCGTCACTGCCAACCTGAGTCCGTACTTCTGGTGCTTCCGGTTTGATACCATATGTTGTGAGTTGAATCGTATCCCCCCAAAAGACATGTCCACGTCCTACCCTCCAGTACCTGTAAATGTCACCTTGCTTGGAAACAGGGTCTGTACAGATGTAATCGAGTTAACACGAGGTTATACGGGATTGAGATGAACTCTAATGCAGTGTGACTGATGTTTTTATAAAGAAGAAGAGTAGATACACAGAGAGAAGACAACCAAGTGAAAACAGAGGCAGAGGTGGAAATTATGCAGCCACAAGTCAGGCAACATCTGGGGTGCCAGAGGCTGGAATAGGAAAAGAGGGATCCTCCCTGGAGGCTTTGGAGGGAGCGTGGCCCGGCTGACACCTTCACTTCCAGATCCTGGCTTCCAGAACTCTGAGAGAGTAAATTTCTGTTCCTTTTAGCAGCCCTAGGAAACGAACACAATGTATTGCTATGGCAGAGGGGTGGTGGAGTCAGCTTTCCAGAGTTCAAATCCTGGCTCCACTACTCATGATCTAATTCCAAGGGCCGCTGGGAGGATAAATGGACTTGACATCTGAAGGGCATTCAGACAAGAGCCTGGCCCCCGGAAACACCACCCAAGTGTCAGGCGTTGTTATCGCAGGGCGAGCCCTTTGCTCAACACAGGTTGCCCAGATTACAGCTTGTCACTGAAAAATAACCCATGCTGATGGTGGTGTTTCTGCTTTTTAATTTAGCCAGATTCTCTTATTTTCATAGACTGTTGGAATCTCAGATACAGAAGAGAGCTTAATGGTCATGTACTGTAGGTTTCAGTCCCTTGGAGATGTTTCCTGTACCATTTCTCAACCGTTGACTTTCCTGTCCCCAGTGAACACCCACAGTGGTGGAGAATTTACTGCCCTGTAAGAAAACACATTCTGTTTGATGACTGGCTGATTTTCACGTTGGAAAAATCTGTCTCCCTCTGTACCACTTGCTCTTTGGAGGCACAAAGTCCCTTCAAGTCAGAGTGAGTGTAAAATTTGAAGACAGCTACCAAGTAAGGCCTCTCTGTGTCTTTCCCAGTAGACATCCTGCGTTTTAACCCTCCTCATGTGACTTGGTTCCTCTGTGACACCCGGGGATATGGCCATCACTTACCTGTGGCGGGGTCTGGACTTGACTTCAACCTTCTGGACGTTTTGGGATCCATCCAATTTGCATTTCTGCGTGTATCACACTCAACTTTCTCTGAAGTGGTAGTTCCAAATTTATCCAGTTTGTGCAAGCAAATTACTCTTACTGCTTTCTTATTAATTTTTTCTATTACTTATTACAAGTATAGGTGATGATACTGAAGAAATAGATTTCAATATCAAATTCAGTAAAAAAAAAAAAAGCAAAAAAAGATTTGATATTTAGGGATTTACATGATTCAGAGAAGCAATAAAACAATCCTTAGCTCAAAAAGTCATCGGGCAATTTCCATTCCTTTCCTCAAAAACAGGCTTTCTGAAGAAAAGATCAGCAATATTTGTTGCTAATTTGCTGAGTCTGTTGGACTCCCAGGTTAAGGGGCACAGGTGTGAAGTCGATGGATGGTTGATACCCGCTTCCTCTGGGGTCTTCCTCTGTTTCCCCTGTGATGATCAGGGGGCCACCCAGTGACAAACTGCCTCTCCTTTTTAAAATTTATTATTTTTTAATTGAATTCTTATTTTATATTGGGGTATAGTTGATGTACAATGTTGTGTTACTTTCAGGTGTACAGCACAGTGATTCAGTTATGTTAAGTTATATTCTTTTTCAGATCCTTTTCCCATATAGGTTATTACAGAGTATTGAATAGAGTTCCCTGTGCTATACCATTGGTGCTTGTTGGTTATCTACTTTATCTATACTAGTGGGTGTGTGTTAATCCCAAACTCGTAATTTATCCTCCCCCCACCCCCACTTTTACCCTTTGTTAACCACACGTTTGTTTTGGAAGTCTGTGAGTCTGTTTCTGTTTTGTGAATAAGTCCATTTGTATCATCTTTCTAGATTCCACATATAAGTGATATCATACGATGTTTGTCTTTCTCTGTCTGACTTACTTCACTTGGTATGGTGA